CCTCGTGTTGCTTGACGTTCTCCTGCATCGTCGAAGTTACGCTGATGCTTGTAACGCTTCGGCTTCTGGTAGAATCGCCTCCAATGCATGTGCCGTAGGGTCGCTAGTGAACGAATACTTGCCGGATTAGAGGTTAATTACTCCTCAATCTGTCAAGCATCGTGACATGCACGGAATTTTCTTCCACGCAGGTCATTAACACCTGGAATCGCGACGCATGATTGGTGTGTCGCCTCGTGAGGTTAATGTTGAGACTGCTCCAATCAATCACCTCGGATGGCTGAGATTCTTGATGAAGACGAATCGGTCAGCTCCTGTTACAAAGTAGTGTCTCGCTGGCCTTGACGAGACGGGTTCACTGCGTCGTCGTTGCGTGCGAAATCTGCTCCTTCGCAGCAACTTGAACTTGGGAGCATTGCAAGAGAAAACGGCTACTTCTCTGCAATCCCATAGGTTGTCGATCAATTTGTATGAAGAAGTGTCTCGTGGATGGAGAACATGTCTTCATGCAGCTCCATAGTTTTTCCTGGGTGAAGATCCGCTGTGTTGATGCCAATCCATTTTTAAGGAATATGACTTCGTCAAAATATGTCGATCGTTATCGACACTGGTTAGAAGATGCGTCGATTGTGCAGTCTCTGGTCACAAATGTTGTCTCCATGATGATGATTTCCCATGGTGTGGTTTCCGCTGCATTCGTGCCGGCGATTTCGCACCGATCCGACGATCCACGTTCTCCTGTCATTTTTCTGCATGCAGATATTACCAAGTAGGTAATACTCTGGCAGATTTCTGACTCCGCAGATGATTTGCGCACCATATTCGTCACCAAATAGAGGAGTCAGAATTTGGTTGTCCGAATGTTGTCAGCGATGTTGAAGGCGGCCAATTTCTGGTTCTGCGCGTCATTCTCCCTTCGTGCGGAATTCGTGCTCCATCTCGTCCGTTGAAGTAGATGTCGATCCGACGGTCCAAAATCCAAGCGATCTGAGGATACTCCTGAGTCGCGTTCAGCAGCTTTCGGCGCCCGAGTTGACTCGTTTCCTGCAGCAATTCTCGGTCGTCGATGTCGGATGTCGAGCGATCGGACGCTCCGAAAAACTTCGCGGCTTGCAAGGTCCCGTTCCCATACGCGCTGAAACTCGAACTCGCTCAGAAGGATTTCGTTTTCGCCTCGGTCGATCCGAAGCGTCGAATCTCCATCGGACAGATGTCGTCGGTCGAACCTCCGCAGAGTTCCGCGCAACTCCAAGTGTTGTCGCGAACTGCGAACTTCTCCAAATGTCGCAGGGAGTGTTCCGCCGGAACTGACGCGCTCGCCAGGTCGAGGCCGTTTGCCCCCGCGAAAAATCGGCACCGTCGATGCAGTCCATCGAACGATTGGCGAGGCATCTTGCCTTTGATGGGGACCCCAGGTGCAACTGCGAGAGGATTGTCGAAACTTAAATGAAAGTGCATTGTACTTCCAGGAATTGAAGTTTCGACTCCATCCTCCGCGTGCTCCTGGGGGCCCAGCGGTTAAGCGTTGAGCTGAAACCTTGACTCTGATTACCAAGTGTCACAGGATCGAATGTCCCGAGGAAAGGTTTGCTCAATGTTGCACTATCAATCAGTACAAGGGGCTTTTATACTTCCAGATTACAACAGGTAACCAGGTTTATCCTATCCAAAGGAAATAGACCCTTCTAGAAATAGAATCACCCTGCGTATAGCCACGCGAGGCTATTGGCTTTAAGGGATTACGGCAGGATTACGCTAGATATAGCGCGCCAATACATCCCGAGCCTGGTCGGTGATATAATTATAATAACAGGATAAACCAAAGGATAATGGAAAAGGAGGAATAGGAAACCAAATGAGATGAGATAAAGACCAAATGAATGAGGATAAAAAGAGGAATGAAATAGAAAGGAAATATGAAAAGGGGAAATTTGTGTAACGGGGTCGTACTCTCACATGAGGGGGCGCCCCAACCGGGGGGGTCACGGTGTCCAGAGTGAACAGGCCGGACACCGGGTCCCGGGGGAACGTGGACAAGGGGGCACCAGTGGCGGCCTTGGTACAGACAGCATACCGCTCGTGATCAGGGAACGTAGTGGTGACGCCAAGGTCCTGGAGGCAACCGACACCAACTAGGTTCCTGGAGAACGAGGGGATATGCAGACCTGTAAGAGAGCCCGAAGGAACCGCCGGACAGGGAAGGGTGGTGGAATTGCGGGAGACTTTCGGACCGCCGTAGGGGTCAGCAAGAGAAACGGCAGCAGGAACAGGAAGCAGCGTCAGTGTAGTAGAGTCGCGGAAGAAGCACCGGGAAGCGCCAGAGTCCAAAGTGAAGGAAAGCGAAGCAGTGGCGTCTGGCGACGGGGCGACAGCGGAAGGACCAAGGCTAAACAAAGCAGGGGATCCTACGCCTGATACAGCAGGGGAGGCTAAGCTAGGCACACCTACACTAGACGACAGTGAGTAATAAGCGGGAAGCGCACTAGAGTTATCAGCATACATCACATGCAGAGCAGAAACAATGGCATCCATGTCCATGTCAAAAATCTGAATCCTACGTCTAAGCATGCTGTGCCAGTCCAGGAGGTCTGGCGACGTGCCGAAGCGCTGACGAAACAGGTCGTCCAGGCGACAAAAACAGCGAGGAGTGGTATGACCGAGCTTACCGCAAACGAAGCTGCGGCGAGGACCGGTGTGGATCTGGTACTGACAACGCACGCCTCCCGAACCACCACTCGGCACACCACCACGCGCCCGACTACCTCCAGCGCCAGGCCACCCGGGCGGGAGGACACTCGCCTGCCTTGTATGCGGCGGCTGCAGCGGCTGCTGCGGAGGCTGCGGCTGCTGCGACTGCTGCGGCTGCTGCTGCTGCTGCTGCGACTGCGGAGGCGGCGGCTCAGCTGGACTGGGCAGGGTCCCCTCGTCCGCTCCAGCACCAGACGACCCGACTCCACCACCACCCCCTCCTGCACCCCCGCCTCCTCCGCCGCGCCCAGCCTTGGGGCGGCGGCCCTTCCCCGAACGAAACTGCGCTGCAGCAGCAGTCTCACCCACAGCGACAGAACCGTCGGAGAAGGTACACTGAGCGGGGGCACAACCCTGAAAGATAGGGACCGGCACGGTACCGCTCGCCTGGGCGATGGAGCGGTGGCGAGTCTCAATAACAGTCAGGGTGTCTACAAAGTCGGTGAGGGTAAGCTCACCGGGGTGAATGCTAAGGAAGCGGTCGCGGGCGGCGGCAAGGCGGTCAGGGAGGCGGGTGGCAAGCAGGTAGAGGGTAGAGGTAATGGGCGGCTGGTGGGCTCTAAGCTGTGCGTCAGTGCAGGCAGCACGCCAGGTCTCATCTATCGAGCGCAGGTGCGCAGCTAGGTCAGAGACTGTGGGGAAAGACGCAAGGTCGGGAAAGAGCATCGGGAGGATCAGGCGACCCACCGAGGCAGCAGGAGGGGTGGAATAGCGCTTGATGACAGCATCTAAGTAACCTTGGGCGGTAGTGATGGACCTAAAGCGAGGGCGCTCGGACGGGGGAAGGGCATTGCTAATGGCAAGTTGAGCGACAGCGTCTGGAGAAAGCCAGACAGAGCGCGCAAGGGCAGTGGCAGCAGTAGACTCGTGCTCAGCGGGTGTGGGGTCAGCGGGCAGAACAGCAGGGGGGTCTGGGTAGGGGAGCGTACCGTCAAGGTGTGCGGAAAGCGGGTGGCCATCCTGCCGATGGCCAGTGAGGTGGCGACGGAGGTCGGCGAGCCACGCCTCGAACTCCAGAGGCTGGCCTTCAGCGTCGAAGCGAAGCTCCGCCGCCATCAGGAGCAGTGCAGGACTGTACAGTGCGGTGCAGTGCGGTGCAGTGCGGTGCAGCACGGTGCAGTGCGGTGCAGGGCGGTGTAGTGCGGTGCAGGGCGGTACCGTGCAGTGTAGTGCGGTGCAGGGCGGTGCAGTGCGGTGCAGGGATGGGGAACCGTACCAGGGAGGATGCAGGGCCGGGGCAGGGACGACGAGCGGGCCGCACACAGCTCGGGCCAGAAGCAGCGGGCACCAGGCCGACGGGACGGGCGCGGGGCCGGCTGGGACGGGTGCAGGGGCCGAGCAGACGGGCGCGGAGGTCGCGAGGGCGGGCGCGGGGCCGGCTGGGACGGGCGCAAGGCAGGCGCGGCGGGGCCAGGCAGGTGCGGCGGGGTCAGGCAGGCGCGGGGGGGCCAGGCAGGCGCGGCGGGGCCAGGCAGGCGCGGCGGGGCCAGGCAGGCGCGGCGGGGCCAGGCAGGCGCGGCGGGGCCAGGCAGGCGCGGCGGGGCCAGGCAGGCGCGGCGGGGCCAGGCAGGCGCGACGGGGCCAGGCAGGGCGTGACGGGGCTGGGCAGGGCGCGACGGGGCCAGGCAGGCGCGGCGGGGCCAGGCAGGCGCGGAGGGGCCAGGCAGGCGCGGCGGGGCCAGGCAGGCGCGACGGGGCCAGGCAGGGCGCGACGGGGCTAGGCAGGGTGCGACGGGGCCAGGCGGGCGCGACGGGGCCGGGCAGGGCGCGACGGGGCCGAGCGGGCGCGACGGGGCCAGGCGGGCGCGACGGGGCCGGGCAGGGCGCGACGGGGCCGGGCAGGGCGCAACGGGGCTAGGCAGGGCGCGACGGGGCCAGGCGGGCGCGACGGGGCCGGGCAGGGCGCGACGGGGCCGAGCGGGCGCGACGGGGCCAGGCAGGGCGCGACGGGGCTAAATGGCGTGACGGGGCCCAGGAGGGGCACGACGGGGCCTAGAAGGGGCGCGACGAGGCTAGGGGGGCGCGACGGGGCCCAGGAGGGGCGCGACTGGGCTAGGAGGCGCGACGGGGCCCTGGAGGGGCGCGACTGGGCTAGTGGCGCGACGGGGCCCAGGAGGGGCGCGACGGGGCTAGGAGGCGCGACGGGGCCCAGGGGGAAGCGGCGGGGCCTAGCTAGGGTACGGGCGGAAGCGGTAGGTGGGGGATCCTAACCTACGCGTGATACCATGTTAGAATGAGAATTGAATGGTTGAGTAGTGTGAGAGTACAGGTGAATATGCCTAAGTGTTGTACCCTCTAAGAGGTGGCCCTATACAGTCTATGCAAACATAGGAGATACACATGTTTGATACCACCTTGTCCCATTACCCACTACAACATGTATTATTTGTTGAGGTACACTCGCGTCACCATACCAAATGCTGCTCATACAACCCTAAGGCACTTCTATTGCATTCTAATAATTGTACCAATGGTGTGGCCAATCATTTTCCTGCTGCATCCGAACTATCAGCATGCAGCTTGTCAAGCCATGGCAAAATATGGGAGGCTGCAATTTCTGGCCTGTCGTCATGCGGACAATGACCAACATCGGGGAGTGGTACCACTGCCACTTTGTCATTTCCCCTTCGCTCTTCCAAGCGCTTGAACAGCTGAGCCACCTGATGAGAAAAGGGGACAACAGAGCAAGGCAACGCTTGCAAATAAAGCTCATTACCATAAACTTGCATGGAAAAAACATGTCCGTATAAATAGCACAGGTACACAACATAGGCTCCCCCATCCAATGCGTATCAGAGCAGTGAAGTGGCTAGGCTCACGCACCTTGCCATCAATAGGCGTCCATGGGTCTTTGTCTCCCCAGAGCACCAGCATGGGCACATCCACCATCTCCACTAAATCCTCCGGATGTCGGCCTGTGGACATGTGAGAGGAGAATAGTAGGAGAATAGCGAGAAAGGTAAGGCAGACGCGCACCAGCATGGGCACATCCACCATCTCCACTAGATCCTCCGGATGTCAGCCTGTGGAAAATGGTGAGACGTATGGAGGGAGAGAGACAAAACAAGAGGCGCGAAAACAGTAAAGCAGCAGCATAGCACCAGCAAGGGCACATCCGCCATCTCCACTACATCCTCCAAGTGACGGCATGTGGAAATGACAGGGAGGGAGAGAGACACGAGGTAAAGAGATAAAACAACAGTGGCAGGGAAAGATGAGGCAGATTAGAATAGCATCAGCATTCGTACATACATGATCTCCATCAGACCAGTAGGGTGTGGTGTGGGCATGCCAAGTGATGGAGGAATTAAACAGGAGGGTTTGGCACGAAGAGGTAACGGTGAGGTGGAGGGGGGCTTGGGCCATTAGCCCTTGGGATATGGACAGGAAGCAGCAGGTGAGGGTGAAGGGATAGGGATAGACAGGAAGTGGGACCAAGGGAAGGTGACGGTGGAGTAACATCAGCAACATCAACATCAACAGCAGCAGCAGCAGCAGCAGCAGCAGCAGAACATGACAGTAACCTCATAACGCTGACCTGGATCGCCCGTGAAGACCTTGACAAAGACGTCTAGGGCTCCCTCATGCGTGGATGGCTCGTACAGAATGTCCACCTGCGGGCAGGGAGAGGGGAGACGGCAGGGAGAGGGGAGACGGCTGCATTTGTGTTACCATGTTACCAGCCACAAGTGTTAAAGACCTTGACAAAGACAAGAGCTCCCTCATGTGTGGATGGCTCGTACAGAATGTCCACCTGCGGGCAGGGAGATGAGGGCAAGGGAGATGAGGGCAAGGGAGATGAGGGCAAGGGAGATGAAGGCAAGGGAGATGAGGGCAAGGGAGATGAGGGCAAGGGAGATGAGGGCAAGGGAGATGAGGGCAAGGGAGATGAGGGCAAGGGAGATGAGGGCAAGGGAGATGAGGGCAGGGGAGATGAGGTCAAGGGAGATGAGGGCAAGGGAGATGAGGGCAAGGGAGATGAGGGCAAGGGAGATGAGGTCAAGGGAGATGAGGGCAAGGGAGATGAGGTCAAGGGAGATGAGGGCAGGGGAGAAGCATACACACCACTTAAGGAGGCCATCAAAATGGGAACTTGAATTCAACGCAAGCCGAAATCAAAGAGAAATTTGAATATACAGACAGAAAGCGTCCCATCACCCACCAGCCGGTCGCGGACTTACGACCATCGCAGTACACCTGCCCGCTCAGTGTGACTTTTCAGTCAATTAAAAAGTCATCTCTGAATCGCATCCTCCACTTACCAGCCGGTCGCAGACTTGTGAGCCATCGCGGTACACCTGCTCGCTTAGAATCTTGCGCACATTGGCCTTGCTGCGGAACCTGCAAGCAATAACGAGGACAGGAAACACTTATGGCTGTGTGACAGGCGTTTAAAAGGAATAAGCCCACCTTGGATTTCTGTAGGAGGTACTCGATCGCCACAAAAAAAGTTGACAGCGCCATCAGCACTGCTTCTTGGTCACGACCATTCTTCCCACTCACCGTTCGAACAGGAATGATGCAACCTTGGGCTTCTGCAGCAGGTACTCGATCGCCACAAACATGGGCGATAGCGCCGTAAGCACCGCATCATCTCGCATCAGCCCCTTCCTGTTCATGGCTCCAGCCACGTTGAGAAGGACCAAACCCCTGGTGGCAAGAGCAGGGAGAGAGGGAAAGAGGGCAGTAAGAGTGACAGCACTGTCAGCACCGCATCGTCTCACATCAGACCCTTCCTGTTCATGGCTCCAGCCACGTTGAGAGGGACCAGACCCCTGGTGGCAAGAGGGGGGGGTCCTGAGAAATTGAGATGCTAAAGCCAACCTTAGCCACATCCAGCCTTTACGTCCCCAAAATCGCATTGTTCGAAAAGGACAACTTCTTCTTTTAGGCGCCACGAAGAAATGTAAATCGGAACCATCAGCAGAGCCTCTCACCAGCAATTGAAACAAGGAAGGCGGGAGCGAAAGAAAGAAAGACAATTAGGGTATTGGCACGGACAGACGGACAATGGTAGTCCCCCAACCTCAACGTATCATTATATCTATCCCTTCACTGCACTCTGCACAACACTCCCCTCCCCCTCTCACTCAAGTGCTGCCCACTTCATACACCTCACCTTATCTTTCCCTTCTCTGCTCTGCGCACAACACTCAACTCCCCCTCCCCATCACTCAGCCCCTCCCCATCCGACAACACTAGTGAAGCGGCAGAGGAAGCAGAATCAGAAGCAGAAGTGAGAGCAGCAGCAGTGTCAGAAGGATGCTTATCCTCACCTGATCTTGCCCTTCTCTGCTCTCCGCACAACACTCAACTCCCCCTCCCCTTCGCTCTGCCCCTCCCCATCCGACAACGAGCGTGAAGCGCCAGAAGAAGCAGCAGCAGTGAGGGAGGTGAGTGAGCCGATGGAGTTGCCTATCAGCACTGCAGGCTCGTCCGTAAATTCCAGCATGAAATCTGCATGTGGGGGGACAGGGAAGGGGGGGGAGGAAGGGTTTGTAGGAGGGAAGCAGCAGCAGCAAGGGAGGTGAGTGAGCCGATGGAGTTGCCTATCAGCACAGCTGGCTCGTCCGTGAATTCCAGCATGAAATCTGCATGTGGGGAAAAGGAGAGGGGGTGAAGGGGGGGGATGGGGGGAGGGGGGAGGCGGGAAGGGAAGCATTTTAAGGGAAGCGGCAGCAGCAGTGGGAGAGGTGAGGGAGTTGCCTAGAGGCACATTTTTGAGGCGCCTAAAAAATAGACTCCTCACGCACATTTTTGAGGCGCCTCAAAAATAGACTCCTCACGAAATGGGGGGAGGGGGGAGGCGGGAGGGGAAGCATTTGAAGGGAAGCGGCAGCAGCAATGAGAGAGGTGAGGGAGTTGCCGACCTCTCTCATTGCCGTGCCGCTTCCCTTCAGTGAGAGAGGTGAGGGAGTTGCCTAGAAGCACGGCAGGATCGGAGTCAATAAAACACATGAGCATGAAGTCTGGAGGATGAGGAACTGGGGGGAGGGGGGAGGCGGGAGCGGAAGCGTTCGAAGGAGCCTATAAGCACGGCAGGCTTGACCACGCACACACGAGCTTGAAGTCTGGAGGATGAGGAATGGGGGGAGGGGGGAAGAGGGAGGATGAGGGAGATGAAGAGAAAAGTGTTAGAAGAGAAGGAGCAGCAATGAGGGAGGCGAGAGGGGGATCTGTGGGCGGGTTTTGATACTTGGGACGCCTCACAGCAAGCTGTGTGTACGCCTTATGGCACTCTGCGAGATTAGAAAGATGCGCTGAACCAACCGTGATCACATCAGCATCTACTGTTGATGATGTCAGCCCAGGGCTCTGGGCCGTACTCCACGCGCCACCCATCCAGCTTGTCAGAGTCCCCAAAGCCCAGGAGGTCCACTGCGTACACCTTGTGGTGGTCCGTGTGTAACTATGTGCTGCAAGCCCCTCAGCACCCACCGTTGATGATGTCAGCCCTCAGCTCGGGACCATACTCCATGCCGCCCGGCTTGTGAGAGTCCCCGAAGCCCCGGAGGTCCACAGCATACACCTTATGGTGGTGATAGACCATAGCTAGCAACGTGCCATTCTAGCACCTACTACCGTTGATGATGTCAGCCCAGGGCTCTGGCCCGTACTCCACATTGCCCAGCTTGTCCGAGTCCCCGAAGCCCAGGAGGTCCACTGCATACACCTTATGGTGGTGATACACACCATAGCAACGTGCCGTGCTAGCACCTACCGTTGATGATGTCAGCCCAGAGCTCCGGCCCATACTCCACGCCGCCCGGCTTGTCCGAGTCCCCAAACCCCAGGAGGTCCACTGCATAGACCTTATGGTGGTCCGCGAGGTGCGCTATGAGATTGCGGAAGTGCCCGGCGCTGCCACCTGAGATGTGGGGAAGATACATGGCAGGGGAGAGATACATGGCAGGGGGAAGATACATGGCAGGGGGGAGATACATGGCAGGGGAGCAAGATACATGGCAGGGGAGCAAGATGAGAAAATGGTTGGTACCCTCGAAACCTAGGAGGTCCACAGCGTACACCTTTATGGTAAGCCTCAAGATGCGGTATAGGTGTCGGAAGTGCCCCGTGGGAAACGGGGAAATTACACTGTCGTACGAAACGGTGGAGGAATTTCGACCATCCACTCTAAAACGTATCTACCAGCCACGCGTAGATGTATAAAAAACAGATACCGAGTAAAAAGAAAGTAAGGAAAAAAAATAAAGGAAGGGGTTGGGGAGGGGGGGGGAGGGGAAGAAAGGGGGGAAGGGAAGGGGAGGGGGGGGGGAAAGAAATGGGAGGGGGGGGGGGGAGGGGAGAAAGGGGGGAAGGGAAAGGGAGGGGGGGTGGGGGAAAGAAAGGGGAGGGGGGGGGGGGGGGGAGAAAGGGGGGAAGGGAAAGGGAAGGGGAAGGGGGGGGTGAGGTGGGGGAAGAACATACCGAAGCCATGCACTAGAATGACTGGCTTGCCACACCCAGCCACGGCGTAATGGATGCGATGACCCCTGTGGGAGGGGGGAGGGGGGAGGGGGGATGGGGGGGGATGGGGAGGATGGGGGGAGAGGAGAGGGGGAGCATATTAGATTGACTCGCATAATGGATACGATGACCCCTGAGGGAGGGGGGACGAGGAGATCGGGCATGGAGGGGGGAAGTGTGAGAGAGAGAGGGAAAGAGGAGAGGGGTAGAGGGGAGTGGAAGTGAAAGGGATCTCATGTATTATATTCCGAATCAATTTGATTGATAAAAGAAAGATAATTGGAAAGAGTGCAATATGATAATCAGTCTGGCGGGGCTAGTCTTAGCTTACTTCCACTGGCATGATCACCCTTTAATCACTCCCTTCCCGTTACAGTCACCTCCACATCCACGAGTGTGACCTAAACGGGAAGGCCAATAGTCTCTCCTCCACCCCATGCACACCAGCAAGCAACCAGCCCCCTCACTGCGATCCCCCGCACAGCCACCCCCCTCCCCACCCCCACCACCACTCTTGGTGTCCCTGAGACGATTTTTGAGGCGCCTAAAAAATCCTCTTGGTGTCTCTGTGCGGCCCTACTCACCCCTATTCCACTCACCTCCACATCCACGAGTGTGATCTAAACGGGAGTGCCAATAGCCGTTCCTCCACCCCATGCACGGCAGTCACCAGCTCCCGCACTGCCACCCTCCTCTCCGTCTCCACCACCACCCCCACCCGACCCCCTCTCAGCCCGCCCGTGCGCAGGGTGGGCGGCAGGGTTTGGACGGACGTGACCCCCTGCAGCTGTAGCAGCTGATCCTCCAGCCTGAAGGGGGGGATGAGGGGCGGGTGGGTGGGGGGAGGGAGTCAGAGGAGATTAATACATGCATGCCACCACACACGTTTCACATGATAAAAAGCATGTGTCCTGTGAAACGGCGGGTATGCATGCGCATGGGAGGAAGACTGGAACGGTGTGACACCACATCACGAAGACATGGCAGGTTGTGCGAGGGAGCTGACATTAAATGGGGAAAGATTTAGCTCCTCTTCCTGGCACCATCATCAGGTAATGTTACGCCAGAAAATATCGTTTATTAATGTATAATGTCACGGCATGCGACCTCACCATGGTAAATCCGATTCATCGGTCACACCATGCACCCTGCAAAACATTACAGATAAGACATGTCAGCAGCACAGGAAAATTGATGATGAAATTGCAAATTGACTAATATCCATAACAAAAACGATTAGTTAAAGATCTCCAATATCAGCAACGAGGCAAACGCCACGGACTGACTCAGCATGGGAAAAAGCGCGGGCAGCAGTGAGAATCAACGTCAGACTGACAGATTGACTCACGTCAGTCAGACTGACGACTGACTCACGTCAGGTTGACGAGTTTCGTCGTCTGAGTTACAACTCTTGCTGCTCTCGCCGTCCCCACCGCGCCGCCAGACGCCAGCGCTTCATCTGGCCTCCCTTCTTCTCCCACCCCCGCACTTTCCGCCGCCAAACGCGGGGCCCCGTCCACTCCCTCCCGCTGCTTCTTATAGTGGTGATGGCGCTTCGACAGCGCTGTGCACACCAGCGCACCGCCGGACCGTCTGCTGACGCGTGCAGCGCTGTCGTAGTCCACGTGTCGCCTCAGGATAGGCGCTAGTTGAGACGAGCTAAATCTGGAACCGAGTTTATGCTGCGTCAGAAAATGGACGGACGCGGGGACCGTCGCGAAAGACGCGGCGAAGGCTGTCGCCATGATGGCGAAAAGCAACGAGAAAGTAACCAGAACAAGAAGGCAACTGGTACCAGGCGATGTATCAGTTATTCCCAACGGAGCAATTCGCCTACAGAAGGGACGACTGGGATTACTGCTTTTGAGACAACTCGAAGGAGCACTTCTCCTACACGAAGACGGCTGGAAAAGCAGGGGGGACGACTAGTCTACGACAAGTTGGGGGTAGGTGGTAGTAGTGAGTGCGGTGAGCGGTAGGAATGTGAAGATCGAATCAAGAAGAGGCAATTCGACCAGGTTCTGAGCCCATAGACGGGAACTGGAACGAATTCGAAACCGAGTACGGTTACCGAGGAACTAGGACGGCCAGAAGTAGGGAATGCAGCGAGCGCAGCGACGGGACGTTCCGAGCGAGAGCAGTGTTCTTGGCGACAGAATAGGACTGGCGGCGTCGCGCAGTACGTCGCAACCGGCGCTTCGAGAAGAAAGAGGATGAGGTGGATTCCGAGGTTAGAGACTTGGGTAAGAAGCAAGACCGAAGAGCGATACACGAGGTCTAGGGGGAAGTCTGAGTGCCTTAGTGCGTGGATGGTGTCAGACACACATGCCGAGACTGACACGTGTGCTGAAATCAAGGGTGACAAATAGTGGCCTGTTGCTGCACTCTGGAGCTGATACTACCGGGTACAGCGTTGCTGTCAGGAGCTGGGGCTGACGCGTCAGGAGGTTGGGACGGCCAATCACATTGTTTCGGTCGGTCTCTCGGCTTCTGGTGTGCGTGCTGCGCTGAGCTGGCGCGAAGGAATCTTACGCCTTCGCTAAGAACAGGGTACAGGAGGGAGAACACGGGTAAGAACACAGTTGATTGGTTCTACTTACGAAAATACAGAGGCTGAACAACACAAGAAGAATTGCTAAGTAGTTACATTACAAGCTGACGACGAGCTTCGTAATGCGAGGAACAATGAGAAGATCCCTTTAATTGCACTCACACAAAAGCCTCTTGCAAGTAGTAGGACGCTACAGCTTAGAAACCCAACCCAATATTGAAGGAGCAGCCTGGCCAGCATCACATGTCCAAGCAGCAGGTACGGTACTAGAAAATAACATCCTCTTCCGTGGCTGTTGCAGCCCAGGATTTGTCAGCAACTGCCTTGGGAGCCGTAGCCTCTTCAGCCTCTCTCTCCTCTTTCAACTTCTTCAGCTTGTCAGCCTCCCTCTTCTTGTAGGCCTGCACCTTCTTCAGGCGGAAGAAATCCTCACGCTCCAGCTCATCAAGCTCTCCCTTGATGTACGAAATCGTGTTCTCCAGGCGAGGCACCACCACATTCTCAAGCGCATTGACACGGCGGTTGGTCGTCTTGATGGCCTCGTCCAGTGTCAGGAAGGATGTCTGCAGAGAAGCCAGTTCCACCAGGAGCTCAATGGCACGGACGAATGCTGACCTCGCGAGCTGGATCTGCTGTCCTCCTCGACCCAGACCAGTCAGATCGTTCTTGCTGTCGCCTGCCTCGGCGAAATGCTCGAATTTCGGCAGCTTCACGCCAGCGACGTTGTCCTGCTTTGCGCGAACCTTGATTATTGCCTGATCCACGTTCTCGAAAACAACGTGCTTGATCCTGTCTCCAGCAGCATACTTTGCTTCAGTCAGAGCGAAGGCTGAAGACTTCATAATGTCACCCATGCTCTCCTTCGTCTCCATGATCTTCCTCAATATTTGCCTAAACTGCATCGTCAGCGCATCACTCTTCTTCTTCAGCAGCTGATGTCCTTTCGTCGCGCCGATAAGCCGGGCCTTGATGACCGTCAGAACAGTCACGGTCGGCACAACAGTCAACCGCTGACCTTGTGACATGGTAAAAGCCTGCTGGAATCACCAACTTCTAAAAAATAGGGTTCAAACTAGTCGATGTTACCCTTCCCTCCAGCAATGCCTTAGGCCACTGCTCTGACCACCGCACAGTAGGGATGATCAGCTTAGGAATAAAGCGACTTGTCCAGGGAGATGTGAATGCCCGTGCTGTCTTCACACCAGTAGCCTAATGTTAGACCTAGGAGCTGGAGGGAATGAGCTAGCCCGAAAACCGATAAGAAAAGCAGTGAGGATGAGGAAAAAATAAAATTAGGGCGTGTCTTAAGCGTACATCCGAATGCGGTTGAGTAAGGTGAATTGCGTTTCGGAAGGATCACAGATCTCCGCTAAACGGTTCGGTATGGTACTGGCCGAAAACGAACGCTTAGGACACGCCCTTGTGGGGTTACAGTTCTAGCAGGGTTTGCAGTGCTCGCTTCAATTGGCTGTTACAAAAGTGTATCGCGAGTGGATGTGAGGGTTTGATTCGCCAGCCTTGCCAGCATTCCTCCAAGTGATCCCACAACGGGAAGTTGATGCGGGGAGCGACACATTCAGGCTTTAACTTCACCGTCGTGTTTTCGCCAATCTTCGCCACAGCCGTGGTTGTGGTGTGGAGAGGTGAATCTGCCTCGCCAGCTCTGACCAGCCAAATGCACCTCTGCTGCAGCAGCCGACCAGAGGGCAGAACCACCACATACTGCACTTCCTTACCTTCCCTCCCTCCTATTTCTTTTCATTTCTTGCATTCCTTCCCCCATTTGCATTCCGCTGGTTTCATCCCCCGTGCTTTCCGTTCATCATACTTTCATGCAGAGTTGCCTCTTCCCTTGGCCCCCCACGTCCTCCCGTTCTTCTCGGATTTCCCCTCTCGTCGTCTCCGTCATAGTCCATGGCGGCTACAGCTGTCGCATTCGCGCAAGCATCAACGAGCCTTTCCTCTAGTAGATCCCTGGGGACCAGCTTCGTAACCGGAACCGCCTCCTGCCGAGCTAGTCTAGCGCCGTCTCGCCTCCCTCAGAGCTCATGTCAATCGAACCAACCGAAGGGCGTTATGGGAACGCCGGAGAGACGGGCTCAACAGCGCGGCGGCGCCATGACTGCTCAAGCCTTCGTTGACTGGACGGCCGTTCCCGCGTGGTACGTGTTTTATAGATTCGAGCAAGGATACCCGACATGCTGTCGAACCAACCGAAGGGTAACCGAAGGGTGTTATGCGAGCGCCAGAGAGATGGGCTCAGCAGCGCGGCGGCGCCATCACTGCTCAGGCGTTCGTTGACTGGGCTGCTGTTCCCGCGTGGTGCGTCCTGTAACCACCCTGCGTCGTCTCCCTTTCGCCTCCCCTCTCCAGCACACGACGCTACTGCTCCAGCTTTCGTTGACTGGATTGCTGTTCCCGCGTGGTGCGTGCTTTATATATCCAGACAAAGATGCTTTTTGAGGCGCCTCAAAAATATCCAGACAAGGATATCTGACATGCCCTTCCAGCCTGACATGCCCTTCCAGCCTAGCCTCGTGCGTCTGTTGCCACCCATCTATCTTCGCTCCGCCTTCGCTCCATGCAGAACCATAGGTCGCTATTGAGTCGACGCTTGAGTCGCCTCATTACAATGTCACGCGGCACACCGTCGCTCCATGCAGAACTGTAGCTCCAATAATACACATTACGAGACGATTCGTGCAACCCGAGATTCATCAGACTCCTAAAGGAACCTCGCACCCTCCCCTAGAAACAACCCCGTTTGTCTCCATTCGGTTTCCACTGATTTCTTTCTTCCCCCCTACAGGCTCGTCAAGGCGTTAGCAGAGCGCGTGTATCCGTCCAACCCCTGCTGGCCCGGCAAGTACCGGGACCCCAATGTGCAAACCTGGTTGCACATCTGCATTCCCTTTCCTCCCCCATCCCCTCTCACTTCCCCCATCCCCTCTCACTTCCCCCATCCCCTCTCTCTTCCCCCATCCCCCCCTCTCCCCCCATCCCTCTCGCTCCCCCCATCCCTCTCTCTCCCCCCATCCCTCTCTCTCCCCCCATCCCCCCTCTCCCCCCATCCCTCTCTCTCCCCCCATTCCTCTCTCTTCCCCCATTCCTCTCTCTTCCCCCATTCCTCTCTCTTCCCCCATTCCTCTCTCTTCCCCCATTCCTCTCTCTTCCCCCATTCCTCTCTCTTCCCCCATTCCTCTCTCTTCCCCCATTCCTCTCTCTTCCCCCATTCCTCTCTCTTCCCCCATTCCTCTCTCTTCCCCCGTCCCCTCTGTTACCCATTGTCTGCAGGCTAGTGAAGGTCCTGGCCGAGCGCGTGTACCCATCCAACCCGTGCGGGCCGGGCTAGTACCTGCACCCCAACGCGCAGGCGTGCGTGCGTGTATGTACATGTGCATTCCGTCTCGTCTCCCCTCCCATTCCTCCTCCCTTTTGTTCTCCCAGGCTACTCAAGGTTCTGGCCGAGTGTGTGTACCCATCCAACCCGTGCGGGCCAGGCAAGCACCTGGACCCGAACGCGCAGGCGTGCGTGTACATCTGCAAGCCGGGGTACTCGTACGACTACGACACCAAGTCATGCATGCGCATCATGCCCGCCTGCATTCCGTCTCCCTTCCGCCGTCCCCTCTCTTCCCCCCTTCCCCCTCTTACCCCTCGCCTGCAGGCTTGTAAAGGTGCTGGCAGAACGCGTGTACCCATCCAACCCCTGCGGGCCGGGCAAATATCTGGACCCCAACGCGCAGGCGTGTGTGTACATCTGCAAGCCCGGGTACTCGTACGACTACGACACCAAGTCGTGCGTGCGCATCATGCCCGCCTGCGGGGAGGGCTACGTGCTCAAGGGCGGGCGGTGCGTCCCTGACCATGAGTGCGACCAGGGGTACTCGTACGACGCCTCGCTGGACGCGTGTGTGCTCCCTCAGGTGAGTTTGAGACGCTGAGGCCACCGTGTGACTCCAAGGTAACCATGTGAAAGCAGTGCGTGCGCTTCAAGGGGCAAAGAAACGGTCGTTTCTTTTACCGTGTAATACAGAGAGCGTCTGAGTCCCTCAGGTGTGGACTAAGACGTGAGAGGGGTAGGGCCTCAAGTACTTTGCAGCCGGCGGCCAGTTGGGGTGAGAGGTGCGTGCTCAGTGGTGGCGGCCGGTGCTTGCTGGGCCACGAGTGAGCGTAGGCTTGGGCCAGGGGTGCTTGGGCCAGGGGGCAGAGGTTTAGGCCAGGCGTGGTTGGGCCACAGGTGCTTGGGCCAGGGGTGCTTGGGCCAGGGGTGCTTGGGCCAGGGGGCATAAGCTTGGGCCAGGGGTGCTTGGGCCAGGGGGCATAGGCTTCGGCCAGGGGTGCTTGGGCCAGGGGGCATAGGCTTGGGCCACGGGTGCTTGGGCCACGGGTGCTTGGGCCAGGGGTGCTTGGGCCAGGGGTACTTGGGCCAGGGGTGCTTGGGCCAGAGGGGGCATAGGCTTGGGCCAGAGGTGCTTGGGCCAGGGGGCAGAGGCTTGGGTGGGCCAGGTGTGCTTGGGCCAGGGGGCATAGGCTTGGGTGGGCCAGGGGGCAGAGGCTCGGGTGGGCCAGGGGTGCTTGGGCCAGGGGGCATAGGCTTGGGTGGGCCAGGGGGCAGAGGCTTGGGTGGGCCAGGGGTGCTTGGGCCAGGGGGCATAGGCTTGGGTGGGCCAGGGGTGCTTGGGTCAGGGGGCATAGGCTTGGGCCAGGGGTGCTTGGGCCAGGGGGCATAGGCTTGGGCCAGGGGTGCTTGGGCCACGGGTGCTTGAGCCAGGGGTGCTTGGGCCAGGGGTACTTGGGCCAGGGGTGCTTGGGCCAGAGGGGGCATAGGCTTGGGCCAGAGGGGCCATAGGCTCGGGCCAGGGGTGCTTGGGCCAGGGGGCATAGGCTTCGGCCAGGGGTGCTTGGGCCAGGGGGCATAGGCTTGGGCCAGGGGTGCTTGGACCACGGGTGCTTGAGCCAGGGGTGCTTGGGCCAGGGGTACTTGGGCCAGGGGTGCTTGGGCCAGAGGGGGCATAGGCTTGGGCCAAAGGGGCCATAGGCTCGGGCCAGGCGTGCTTGGGCCAGGGGGCATAGGCTTCGGCCAGTGGTGCTTGGGCCAGGGGGCATAGGCTTGGGCCAGGGGTGCTTGGGCCAGGGGGCATAGGCTTGGGTGGGCCAGGGGTGCTTGGGTCAAGGGGCAGAGGCTTGGGCCAGGGGTGCTTGGGCCAGGGGCATAGGCTTCGGCCAGGGGTGCTTGGGCCAGGGGGCATAGGCTTGGGCCACGGGTGCTTGGGCCACGGGTGCTTGGGCCACGGGTGCTTGGGCCAGGGGTGCTTGGGCCAGGGGCACTTGGGCCAGGGGTGCTTGGGCCAAAGGGGGCATAGGCTCGGGCCAGGCGTGCTTGGGCCAGGGGTCATAGGCTTCGGCCAGTGGTGCTTGGGCCAGGGGTGCTTGGGCCAGGGGGCATAGGCTTGGGCCAGGGGTGCTTGGGCCAGGGGGCATAGGCTTGGGCCAGGGGTGCTTGGGCCAGGGGGGATAGGCTTAGGCCAGGGATGCTTGGGCCAGGGGGCAGAGGCTTGGGCCAGGGGGCATAGGCTTGGGTCAGGGGTGCTTGGGCCAGGGGTGCTCTCGTAGCGCCTCCCTGCATGCTTGCGTCTTGCTTGAGATCAAATTCAACCACCCTAATGGATGCAACTCCTGCCATCCACTTAGCCCAAGGTTAAGGTTTGCTGCTCTATTGGACCTATCCACCTTATGTACCCCCCGCTCACCATTCTGCTGGCTGTTGCCCCTTCTAAACAGCCGTGGCTGTCCATGTCTCTTGTTCCAGGGGACTTTCCACGGCCCCATTTTCAAGGCTTCAAGATCTACTATTTGTCTGCCATTGCCCCTTTTTACTGCTGTGACTGCCCGTGTCCCTTGTTCCAGGGTTCTTTCCATGAGCCCAAGCGAACTTGGTGGCAGCAGGGGGTGGCTTGGGCAGCCGGAAAAGTTTTGAAGGCGGATGACAACAGCTGCCCTGCAGGGTTTTACTATGACCCCAATACGACGGCGTGCGTGCCAGTGTGTGCTCCGGGATTTATGTATGACCGTGAGCTGAAGAAGTGTGTTCCTTCTGATGACAGTGTAGATCCATTTGTATAGTATGTGTTATGTGCTATGCTAATTATTTATACAGGCACATGGGACATGCTGGCTGCATTATTGTTTGTGCAATTGTAGGCATATTGCATATTGCAAGGTGTATGTACATGGAACAATAATTGTCAAGCTTTATTGTAATCACCTACGATATCCAGTGTTTGTTGGTTCGTGTTTTGTTTGCTGCTCCTACTTGACAATCCCTTCAAATTTTGACATGGTTATCAACTGGAGGTACAGGTAAGTGAACAGAGGGCCATGTTAGAATGCTAGCATGACTAGAATGTGAGAGTACAAGGGAATATAGACTAGTGTGTTGAACCCTCTAAGGCACAAGCCTATACACTCTACAATAACATACGGTACTAAGTTATGTTTTGACACACCCCCAAAACTATATAGGGGCAGTGCCTAACAAGAGGACAAGCAGCTCAGGGCCGCACTACTAGTCCAGCCTCTCAGGCAAGGGTCTAAAGACCAGTCAAACGAGTATTGACCAAGGCAAGAACAAGGCCAGGGCAACACTACTAGTCCAGCCACTAGGAGAGGACACAAGGCCAGTCAGGGTAATATATATATTAAGGTCTGTACACAATCAAGGCCCTAGCAAATGAGAGGCTACAAGAACAAGACCAACCTGTACACAGTGCCGCTGATAATCTTTAGGCGCAAGCGCCTTCGTAAAGATATCAGCCGTGTTGGCACCGGAGGCCAAGTGTACTATGCGTGCCTGGCGGCGCCGTTGTAGCTCCCGCAGAAGGAAGTACCGCAGCTGGATGTGCTTCGCTCTGCCCTCAAGTCGAGGCTCCTGACACAGGAGGATCATGGCCTTGTTGTCAGCGTACAGGACCGGGGCAGAGCTAGGCCGCTCACCTAAGTCGGTGAGAAAGAAGGTCAGCCAGCGGAGCTCCTGTGCCGCCATGGCACCGGCGTAGATCTCGGCCTCGCAGCTAGACTGGGCAACAAACGAGGAGCGGGTAGCTCTCAACGAAACAACACCTAAACCAAGGCTAAAGCAGTAGCCCTGTGAGGACCTGATGGTCTCAGCGTCATCTGCCCAAGAAGCATCTGTGTGCCCAGTAAGGACCACTGGCATGTGTCCTCCCAGCACTAGCCCCATGCCTAATGTACTCGCAAGATAACGCAAAACCCTCTTAGCGGCCGACCAGTGCTGTGGTCGGTGTCTGCCTGTGGCCACAAAGCGAGCCAGGATGCTGAGAGGGTATGCGAGATCTGGGCGAGTGCAAGTCATCAGGTACATGAGGCAACCCACCAACTCTGCATAAGGACCACTGGGCTCTATTGACTCCTCAGGAACAGGAGTTGAGAGCCTGTGGTCTACTGGCAGAGGTGGGGGCTGTGCAAAGGAGAACTAAAGACCGAACCGCTGAAGGACCTTGCGCACCAAGTGTGACTGTGAGAGAGTGATGGTGCGCGCTGCTCTGTCCCTGTAGATATGCAGGCCAAGGTAGTGGCGCAATTCTCCTAGGTCAGTGGAGGTGTGTCTCTTCAGCAGCTCTGCCTTCACGAAGGCCAACGTGTCCCTGTCTGCAGTAGCGAAGACCAGGTCATCTACGTAAACAAGGATGTAGAACGGTGTCTGGCCTGCACGAACGAAGAGCGAGAAGTCGGTCGAGGACGGAAAGAACTGCATGTCAGCTAGGGTAGCACGTAGCGTGTTGTGCCACTCACGGGGCGGCTGTCGCAGGCCGTAGACTGGGCGCCGCAGGAGCCACTGGGTCCCAGGAGGGAAGGTACCAGTAAAGCCTTGAGGGCGGGGCAGGTAGACCTGCTCGTGTAGGCTGCTCTGGAGAAAAGTTGTGGAGAATTCGAGGGAGTGTAACTCGTAGTCGCGCTGCGTTACTACATTTAGCAGCACCCGAAGAGTAGTCATCTTTGGGGTCGGTGCGAAGCTCTGAAAGAAGTCCACCCCCTCACGCGGACTGAAGCCTCTAGCCACGTAGCGCGCCTTGAACACAGGCGGCTCTCCAGGGGGGCGCTTCATCTTGAAGAGCCAACGGCCATCGACTACGTTCACCCCGGGGGAACTACGTCGACGTAGGTGCCGGTGGATCTCCAAGATGCCATCTCCTGCTCCATGGCAGCTATCCACTGAGAGGCCCAGGGTCCCAAGGTGGCCTCAGCGTAGGTGCTAGGACTCGGGATGTCGAAAGTGTCTGGGTCACCTTCAGGGACTAGTAGCATGGAACAGAGATGGGGAGCAGCCTCGGAAAGGAAAGCAAGCTCGTACTGCCGGTCCTCCAAGACGTCATTGCCGAGGGCAGGAGCACCCCCGACGGACGGAGGACAGGCAGGGTCTAAGACGAGAGCAGTGGCGTAGTCAAGGCGGCGGGTAGAGGCGAAGTCAGCGATAGCAGGAACAAGAGCGTCAATACGCGAAACAGGAGCAGACGGGTCGGTAACGAGAGAGGCAAGGACCCCAAAAACAAGAGGACGAGTGGCACGAAGGTAGTCGGACATAGGAGGAGGCCCGAAAACAAGTGAGGACGGAGGAGGCATCGGAAGGAGGGGAGGATGAGACATGTGGGAACGAAGCAACATGGGGTGAGAACGCGGAACAGGGGAGACCGGACGAGCACGAGAGGGACGGCGAGACCAGACGTGCGACGGGGGCGTTGGTTCAGGAGACAGAGGAGGGGACACAAGAGGGGAACGAGGGGGAAGACGAGCCGAAGACAAGTCCGGAGGAGGGAATACAGGGCCGTAGACAGGAAGAGGAGGAGACGGTAGGAGAGGCGCAGACACCGGCGGTGACCGCTGCTGCTGCGGCTGTTCGACGCCGACACCTGGACTGCGAGCTGCTCTACAGCTACATCCGGAACACTCCACTCCAGCACCCCCAGAAGGAACACCCCTAGCCCCGGCACCACCCCCAGGCCCATCGAGATACGCCACGACAGGAACACCAGGACTAGCACCCTCCGCAACGCCAGCACCCTGAGAGGGCACGAAGTGCTGCTGTGGCGGCGACAACGGTGTCTGCTGCTGCGGCTGCTGCAACGATGGCTGCAGAGACACTGGGGAGGGGGCAGGCAGCGAAGACTGCGCCGCAGAGCCACTAGAGTCAGCAGACTCCTCAACCGGGACAACCGACAGGAGGGGGGTGACGTGAGACACACTTGACGGGGCAGGGCCGGGAGGTGGGGAAGCAGGGGCGACCGAGGGAGGGGGAACCATGAACAGGGGGGGAGTAACCGAGGGACCACGGTGCGGAAAACGGTGGTAGAAGGAGACAGACTCGTCAAAGGTGACGTCGCAAGAGTGAAGGAAACGGTGAGACGGCGGGTGGTAGTAGTGCTAGTCAGACGAGTCGAGGGGGAAACCTAGGAAGACACAGGGGATGGTGCGGGTAGTGAGCTTGTCCGTGCCAGAGGCACGAACGTGAGCAAGGAAGCCCCAGACGTGGAACGCAGACGCGTCACCAGGAGACCCGGTCCAGAGGAGGGTCGGCGAAACCTGCGGCCGCTGAGGGTGCGGCCCCAGGTTAAGCTGTTGAGTGGCGTAGCGGACGGCGAACGTCCACAGAAAATGGAGTGCACCGGCATGGATCATGAAGGTACGAGCCACCTCCATGACCAAACCGATGCGTCGCTCAGCGACCCCATTCTGCTGCGGGGAGTCCGGCAAGGTGAACGTCTGGGTGATGCCCTCCGCACGACAGTTACGCCCAGGGCAACCAGAGGCAAACTCGCCACCGCGGTCAGAGTGGAGACACAACACAGGGAGACCTCGGTGCACACGCGCAGAGACAAGCCACGGGATAAGAACGTTAGGCACGTCGGCCTTCCGCTCCGGGGGAAACACGGTGGTGTAACGAGTGTAGTCATCAACAAGGACAAGGAACTAACGCTCACGATGCGACCCACGGACGGGGGCAGGGCCCCAGTTGTCCATGTGCAAGGTCTGCAAGGGTGCGGTGGTGGGGGGGAACGAGGAGGAGTGAGGGGCACGGCGGAGCTGGCCCTCGACACAGGGGGTGCACGGCGGTGCGGATGAAGAGGGGAGCGCAGGGAACGAACCAGGGAGACCTAGAACAAGACCGTGCTGAGTCCTATGACGAAGTCGAGGGAGGGCAGGGTGACCTAGACGGTGGTGCCACAGTAGTGTCGGGTGAGTGAGCGACCGACACGAGCAAGCCGCAGCTACCTGAGGAGACACAATCACCTGGGGAGACGTCCCAACCGGGGGGGGCGCGGTGTCCAGCATGAACAGGCCAGACACCGGGTCCCGGGGGAACGCGGTGAGGGGAGCGCCAGTGGCGGCCTCGGTACAGACAGCGTACCGCTCGTGACCAAGGAACGTAGTGGTGACGCCAAGGTCCTGGAGGCAGCCGACACCAACTAGGTTCCTAGAGAACGAGGGGATGTGCAGGCCTGTAAGTGAGGCCGAAGGAGCCGCCGAACAAGGAAGGATAGTGGAGCTATGAGCTACGATAGGGCCTGAGGAAGGGTCAGCCAAGGAAACCGCGGCGGGAGCGGCAAGTGGCGTGAGAGTAGTGGAGTCCCGGAAGAAGCACCGGGAAGCGCTGGAATCAAGGGTGAAGGAGAGCGCGGCAGTGGCGGTAGGAGCCGAAGAAGCGAGAGAGGAGCCTAGGCTAAACAAAGCAGGAGATCCTACGCCTGACACAGCAGGGGAGTCTGAGCTAGGCACACCTACGCAAGGCAACATGGGGTAAGCGGAACTAATCACACTAGAGTCATCGACATACAGCGCAGAACTAATCTCATCTATGTCCATATCAAAGATCTGAACACCACGACGGAGCAAGCTGAGCCAGTCGGGGAGGTCGGGCGACGGGCCGAAGCGAAGACGAAACAGGTCGTCTAGGCGACTGAAACAGCGGGTGGGGGTGTGACCGATCTTACCTCACACTAGGCCACGGCGAGGACCGGTGTGGAGCTGGTACTGGCAGCGCCTGTCGCCCGAACCACTACAAAACGTCACGCCGTGCGCACGGCCACTGCGACCGCCGCCACCACCAGCGCCGGGCTACCCAGGCGGGAGACGACCGACCCGCCGCTGTTGCTACTGCTTCTGCGAAGGTTGCTGCTGCTGTTGCTGCTCCAGCGGTGGAACCTGCTGCTGCTGCTGAGACTGCTGCTCGGTGGTGCCAGGCCCAGCGCC